TATAAATATCAAATTGTCTGAGGTATGGAATAAATTCCTACTGCTTTAATTGAGGTATTTTTCTCAACTATGATTGCATGGGTGATTGCAAGTAAATATTGAATTTTGCAAAAATTTAATTGAGTCATTGATGCTTTTGTTAATATTTTATTATTGCCTGAACGAGATTATAAATGTTCGATTTGCCTAGTTTACTGTGAACTTGAAGAAATCGTTTTTTACATATGTTGAGCTTTTTCCGAGTTAGTGCATCTGGGCACTTTTACTCCTTGTTAGCTAAGGGTTTCTGCAAAGTCCCCCCTTCTCGTTGATTAATTTATGTATTTCTCAAAAGCTTCTTGACTGTTCGATTAATGATCTAGGATCTGCGTACCGCCCCGTGCGGTTTGTGATTATTCTGAGCCTAGATAGTGCTAAGTAGGACAGTCTGTCGGTTTACGTTAATAGCTTCAGGGCTGTCCCTTACGTATTTTTTGACCGGGTCTACTCTAAGATTCTTAGCATGTCATTCGTGCGGATGTACCAGGGCACTTTGAAGAGCTTTTTGGTTTTACTATTGGCATTGTAGGTGTCAAAAAGCATCTTAATTTAAAAAATTAACTGTAAAGATATAAGTAAGTTGACTTCATTATTCCAAGTTTTTCACCTAATTATTAATTTGGGTTTAATTAATAAATTATTTCTAATTCACTTCGTTTTCTGCTACAGTGAGCATAGGGTATAGTTGAAGAAACATTTTTTATTCCATGAGTTCAGCATTTAGTAACTGTTAAAGCAAGCAAACTTCAGCAGCATTCTTCTGCCTCTTTAACATTTCGGAGCACATCGCTGTTGAGAAAGCATCTCGTTATTAGAAAAACAATTCGTTGTTAGAACAGCACCTCGTTGTTTAAAAAGCGACTAGTTCGTTCCTTGTAATTACATTAGCATTTCGCATTACCAGTGAATTCAACTATCAGGTTCTTTAACTCAAGCTTACTACTTGTCTTCAAATCCTATATGACCTTCATATGCTAAATGGAAAAGAAACTTCCTTTCATTTGAAAAAAATATATTTTAAAAAAGAAGGTTTTTCCTTGCACCTTGAAACAGGACGAAGGCATATATTCATTTTCTAATGTGTTTCGAACCTTTTTTTATACATTGTGTTGACAATTTCGCTCCTTTGCTTGGCACAATGTACAAATTTGTAAGCATCAAAGACTACAACTTACACTGGTTAACATCAAAAGCACCGAAATCAACACAGCCTCGGTTTCAGCTTCAGCTTCAGCCACGGATTTGGATTTGGCATTCCAAAGAAATAAAAATTTCCCTTTTCTTGTTATGTTTGCTCGTGCAAAAAAGTACGTGAACGAAATTTTTGATCATTGCGAAATGGAAGATGGAAGAAGGACGGCAACTGCGACTCGTTGCCACTGTGCAGACAGACGAAGTCAGGCGTATGGAAGTGAATATTTAATGTTTGGATTAAGGAGTGAATTGTGAAAAAATGAGTTTGTAACATCTCTGTAATTAATATTTTAGAGCCGAATGCAAATGAACCCATGCTATGAGGCTGTGACATAACTTTTGACAGTGACATATAGTGTACTTCAATTATATCCTGTGATTGTCAAATATTAAAAATATCTTCCAGTAATTGAACCAACAAAATAGCTTCAAAAACTGCATGTAAAAGCGATTGATTTAACAATACTTTTGAGTTTTATTCCAGGTGTTTTTTTTTTTGCAAATGTAATAATTCGCAAACAGGAGGAAAACATGAGGAAAAGTCGGAAATTGAAAAAAATTGGTTTAAAAAGTGATTCAAAACTTCCTTATTGAGTATATCTCATCCATTTTGAAAGAGATAGCATTGCTATTAATTGAAAATTAGAGCTATTTGTAGTAAGGTTATTTTATTTGGTCTTCCGAATAAAAGGTAAAGTTAAAGGATATAATTAGATTCTTAAAATTCTTATAAAAACAAAAGCAACTTCACTTTAATAACTCTTAACATATTATAGAAGACAAATTTAGAGGTCCCTAAGTACTTCTAAGAGAATTACTACCTATTAGTTCTTTAAGTAATTGACTCGATCTTTCATATTTTTGCTTATTCCCTTCAAGGCTATAGGATTTCCTTATTAAGGCACAACGACAAAAGTTTTCAAATGCGATTAATTGGAGTTTTATGTGCGTTAAATTGCATATTGGAAAGAAAAATAAAGCGAAACCTAATGCACAACAAATCGAATAATAAAAAAGGTAAATAGAGAACAAAATAATAAAGCAAATAAAACAAAACTAATTCACACTTCTACTCGCACTCGCACTCGCAGTCGCAGTCGTACTCGTTTTATATTTGATTTGAACGAGTAAAATTCTTAATGATAAACAATAAATTGCATCGAGCACGCAATTCGTTCATTTCGGCTCGACCTGACTCCTCGACTCGCAGGAGGAGGCGTTCGCGGTAGTTGAACACGTTTGAACCGGATACATCAAATGACGCAACGGAGTCATTAGGTAAATAAATACATTTGTTTTAATATTTCATTGACTTTGTTTGCCTACCCCCATCATAAACAAGCCATCAGCGGCGCCACAACCGTTGCGCCATGTCAATTAGTGTTCCATCAAATGCGATTTGTGTGCAAAGAGTGATTTAAGATTTGCTACAACCTACAACCTACAACCAAGAACGAGAACGAGAACCAGAACCAGAACGTTACAATACTCGCATTCATTGAAGGTTAATTACCCAACTCTTCCCTTCCCAACTCCCAACTACCAACTACCAATAACATTGCCATTGCCAGTACATTGAATAAGATTCAAATCAGAAAATTACTTAACACCGAAGCCATTTGAAGGTAATTTCATTATTTAATACAATTTCGGTTCTTCCTCCCCACCTGCAACACTTCACTGTTCCATCGAATTATTTTTATTGTTAATGCTTACCTGTAAACGGATTTCGGTCAGAAAACGGAAAGGTCATAATTAGGGAGAGAGTGCAGGAAGGATTGCAAAGAAGCCAAATAATAATTGCTTGGATTCGGTATAAAAAGTTTCATTTCAGTTCTCAGAAAAACGCTTAAGAAAAACGCTTGAAATTTTATTTTTAGTTGAAATTGTTGGAAAACTTAAGGACGTTACTTTCTCATTGCACTTGAAAATATTTTCGATTTCCGCAATAAAAACTTGTAGTACCAATAAAAGTGGTTGGGAGAAAAAAATCCTCAACATCAATTAGTGAAGTAATTAAAATCAAATATTATAATAGTAAAATACAAACAAAAGATCAAACGATGGCAATATCGAGTGGGTGAAATAACTTTTTTTATCAGAAATATGCAGTTCAAGACCTAAGATCCAAAAGAACTTATGTCTTATAAATTAAATATTTCTTTAAGTAGGTTAAATTAAGTTGGAGATCAGAAGTTAAACCACTTTTCAATTCGTCGTTGATAGCTTAACTCTTCAAAGAAATAAATGTGAACAGTCGTAATAAGAGTTTCGACATGAGATGAGTTTGAAGTTGAGGAATTAAAACTATGGCAATGACCGAGAGTTTGACCCCGCTGATCTTCATAAAAAGAGTGAAAGTTCCAATCTCTAATCCAATATTAAAATTTGTTTTCAATATCGTAGAGCTTGTGGATATTTAAAAAAGAAATTACAAGTTAATATCTAGCATAGTATCAAACATGCATAGTACAAGATCGGACATAAAAATCCGAAAAGGTTAAGTTAAGGATTGAAAATTATTTCTGTGGAAAATCTAGGAGTAGTTGTTGTTTTCCAAATATATTGGTATCAAATATTTTTTTCTGTCATTTATTACTTCATTATTGTTCAAAGTAAGTGTGATCTGTTGCAAAAGGATATCAAATCAATAGAAAATTGATTAAAACAAACACAATTTGCAAATTATTACATTGAGACAAAAAATATTGAGTTCAAAATCTATCAAGGTAGATTATATATATTGTATATAACAACTATGTAGCGCATCGAAGTTCCCAACCGAAATCTGCGAAATACCCATGCTGATTCGATCCATCAAACCCCAGCAAGAGATCGACAGCAACATAAAAAATCGTATAAAAACTGCTAAAGAAGTTGGAGAGGGGTGAGAAGAGGGAAGAAGAATTTGTAGATAGAACTAATATTGAAAGCACAATGAGAACTGTCTACTAAGGCTTGCACTACGGTCGACTTTCAATGACTCTCCAACAATTATTAGTTTGAGTTTACTATTTTTGAAACTAGTAAATGAAAATCGGATCATTACTGGTAGGAGAAGTGATTTTAGTTTAAATTCTGTCTTCAACCTAAGAAAGTTTATAATATTTTCATAGTTATATTTCTATAGTTAATATATCGAGATATATATGTGCAACATCATTCAAAATACTGAATTTAGTTCATTTAATGAGGAATCCTATAAAAGGATTTAAAATAAAAAAAAAAAATTGACAAGTCAAATTTAACAAACTTCAAATTTTGACAGATTAAAATTATAAAGCAAAATAAAATTTTTTTTTCAAAAATTTTGTTTTTCTAAATTGCGAAAACAGGGAAGGTTTTCCATTGTACACTGATTATTGGTGCTATTACATAGAGTTCTCGCAAAAGTAATGGGTACTCTAAATAAAGCTGAAACTACCTAATGTAGACATCTGGCGGTAAAGAGGGAAAATTGATTTTGAAAGTCAAGTCATTCGCGGAAATTAATTGATGTTCTCTAATTTTAATTGCAATAACAAAATATTCATGATAATCACTCAAAACTATATCAATGACATTCACTTAATTACTATGTCATTTATTTCCTACTCCAGGAGTTCGCAGCCCGCTTTTCGCATTAATTCGCAAATTTTGCAAGATTGATACACAAACAATATTAAATACAAGATTAAAAGGTTTATGATTGAAGGTCTTAATTGTGTTATTTAATTATATGTAATAAGATATTTAACGAAATAATGCACAAAGTTGAAGACACTTACCAGCAATGCTCCTCAAAGAATGTAAAAAGATAATGTTTGCTTCTTTCTTAGACGCCTGAACCTTTCTTGGAAGGTACTGAATTCACTATTTATATTTTTTCGGAAAGAACAAAATTGAAGTTATTTCGACCGATAAAAATTTTTTTATAAAAATATATATTCACATGCATACTACATTAGTTTATATTGAAGAAAACATTTAATCAGAGGCAATGAAGACTAGATTTTTAATTTGGAATAAAGTTAAAATCAACACAGCATCAATCTTTGTATGTATATAAAAGCGTTTCAAATAGTCCAATAATAGTTTTATATATACTAATAAATATAATTTATTTAATTTAAATTAAAGAGAATTTCGAAAAGTAGTAAACACTACAACAGTAAAAATTATTTTTTATATTATTTTAATTCGAGTATTGCCAAATTAAATTAAAATAAAAAATAAATAAGAAGTATATATAGTTTGGTATTATATTAAATGAGGACAAAACATAGTACTTTTTGTCATCGGCGTCTTGGGACTCACGTCACTGTTGACAACTATAAGTTGGAAGTTGTGAAAGACTTTGTTTATTTAGAAACCAGCATGAACACCAAAAGCGACGTCTGCCAACAGATGAAACGAAGAATCACTCTTGCCAACAGATGTTACTTCGGGCTAACTAGGTAATTGAGAAATAAAGCCCTCTCTCGACAAATAAAAATCATGCTCTACAAATCTCTCATCATGCTTGTTCTGCTGTATGGTGCAGAAGCTTGGACAATTACCAACAGTGATGAGAAGGCGTTAGGAGGATTCGAGAGAAAAATTCCTCGGAAGATCTATGGTCCCTTATATGTTAGCGACGAGTATCGAATTCGATGGAACGATGAGCTGTATGAACTATACTGCGACATTGACATAGTTAAGCGCATAAAAATTCAGCGGCTTCGCTGGCTTGGTAATGTTGTGCGAATGTAAGAAAGTGCTCCGGCTAGAAAGGTGTTTAATTCGATACCCTCAGGTGGAAAACTTGGTAGAGAACGTCCGCATCTGCAGTAGAAGAACCAGGTGATTAACGTATTGAGGGCGCTCGGTACTACTAACTAGCGACAGCAAGCAACTAATCAGGCTGGTTGGCGGAGACTACTCGACGGGAGCTTACAAACCACAGCTTTATTTGAGAACACAAGTTCAACGAACTGAAAGTTTATTTCTGAAGTTGCCTATTTTTGTTTTAAAATTATTCATTTGTAGAGACATCTGTTATGCATATTTTTTACTTACTATATATGAAGCGCCTTTTTTGGGTGCAATTTTACAAAGAAGCTATGCAAATGAAAATTATTTTTGATTATTTGATTTCCTTCTTCGAATGTCTACATTTTTTGTCTTTAACCTGAATTATCCATTATTTGGATGATTATCTTTAGGTTGGAATGACCATCTTACACTTACTATTGTGAACTGATCGTACCTGTTCACGACGTCAAGATATAGTTTACGGATTCTACTGAGTACCTCATTTGATTAGTTCAGGGTACGCAACTATGTCACAAAAAAATGACAGGGTTTTGGCTGCTGTCCTTGACAAAGTAAAACAATCTAACAGAAGGAATGAAGAATGCTGCTTAGTAGAGTAGGAAACGTTGAAGCACCACAAAAAATCTTCCTTCAAGACATTTCTTCGCACAAAGAAATAACATCGTCTCGTATGCGCATGTACCCATTTGATATTTTAGTGACCCCCACGCGTATTGGTACGCACAACAACATATGTCGCCTCTTATGTTCCTTTATTCCCTGCCATTTTCCATGCTATTTTATTTTATCCCTAAAGTACGTGCATTAATAAATTTCCTTGAACCTCTCCTGCTGGTGATGCTGCCGATGCTGCCGATGCTGATGTTGCTGATGTTGCTGATGTTGCCTGTGAAGCTGCGGGGACTAAAAAATAATTTCAATTTTACAAAACACATAAACGACAAATTCTCAATCACGTACCAAAACAAAATATGTACACAGGATACAAAGGCTCCCAAGCATCTACATTTGCATGCAAATAAATTAATAAATTGTGTACTTTTGCGAGCACATTTGGGCGCCTTCCCTATATGAACTGCCGTGACAGATTCACATTGAATTTCACATTTGCATTTTTCATATTTTCAAATATTCTATTTCTGACAACTTTTTTCTGCCCTCGTATTTCGTTACTTTATTAAATTACATTTAATGAGTGCTCAGAATTTGTCAGGCACGTCACAACAAATTCTTATACATTTTTAGTTAGTTTAATTTGAAATTCTTAAAGAATCCACTGGATACTTAAGAATTTATTTTATTTCGTCCTGGATCTTCTTCAAACATTTCAGGGCATAAGCCGAATTACATTTTAGCGAAAACACTTAAATGGCATTATCAGAAATAAGTACTCCTCTCCCTTTCGCTGAAAGTTAAGAAGTGAGTTCATTAAATTTATTTAAATATTTTTATTTTTTTTATTAAAGTCTCAATTAAGTATATTTGAGCGAATCATAAGCCATTTAATAGAATATCTATAGCTTTTAAGACCTTAGGTCATAACTTCTTAAGTTTAAATAACCACGGCATCATAGATGTACTCGTATATCCATTTGACTGTTCTTTAAATTCGTGACATGAAGATGAAAAATCGAATGCACTAACCCGAGTTTCTTATACTACTACTGTGAAAATAATTTATTAAATAAAGTCATTTTTCTTCCTAGAAAAGTGGCGTTAACCTTCTTGGTCAGTTTCCCAGCTTTCACTAATTATCTGTTACTCAATCAAAATCATAATCTGTGTTTTTATGACGATTTCTGTTGTTGAAGTTATTTTTGGGCGTTCCTCATTAGATTAAGTTAGGTTGAGATGCCACGTACTGACAGTTATCAGCACTTAGACTCAGAGACATATACTGCCCGTTATTGATTTTGCCGGGAGAGGCGAGTTGCTATCCATTGTTATCTTCAATTACTATCCTTGTTAAACCATTTGGTTTTCCAGACGAAGTTGAGAAAATCCGAAAAATTTGCTTTCGTGATCTCTTCCAAGCCAGTGAAAAAGCGATCCCCAAGACATCAAAGTCGCCTTATGTGCAGTAAGGGACAGAGACATAGAAAGTATTTAATAGATTCTATCTTCTATTCATCTTGGCAACTCCTGCATAATTCACTTGTTGGAACTCGCTACCGTTAGAGCATAGGCCTAATGGCACAGTGCCCTGCTATTACTCCAGTAAGTACATAAACTGCAGATTTGCTGAAGCCCAAAAGGCTTTTCGTTTTATTTGTATTCAAACTAAGCCATAAGGTGTTAGCGATCTCACAGTCTTCGTGGTTAGCCCGTAAATTGCTAGTTCATCTGCTAGTTCTTTTCCTTCAATATTGCTATGATCAGGATCCCAGAAAAGAGAGACCGTGTGATGTTTGAAACTTATCAATGAGGCGCGACATTCTAAAATAATTTTGGATTTAACCATTTTGGACTCAATTGCTTTCAGTGCGGCTTTATTATCTGGAGAAATCGTGATAGCCGAAGGATGAATTGTACTAAGCTGTGTAAGAGCAATGAGGGCGTCACCAATTACTCTTACCATATATCGCTCAGTGAATCTATAAGCTTTCGAAACAGTACCTTATATTCACTTGGATATTTTGTAAGGACTAAACTACGACAGTTAAACAAACCAGCTTATTGTTTTGGAGGAGCAAATTCGTCAAACATTTTTTTGATTTCATTGTATATTTCACAGATAAATCTACTTGATTTTGAGAAGAAATGTATAGAAACAAGTCCTTGTTTGTTGTGATCTTCTTCTGACTACTTTTTTGGCAGTGTTATGCTGCCCAACTGATACCATTCCCAATGCGAAACCCAAAAAATATATTTGAAAAGAATTTGGCTTATTTCGCCTGTCCGTTTGTCCGCTAGTGTGTGATTTAATGGGTTTTTTTTTGGTCATGTAAGTTGCTTTCAGTTCTTTTCTATTCTAAACGCTTGAGATAATATTTCTTTGTTGGTCGGTATGCCACAAATGGCTACATTCAATGGAAACTACTACTCGTCTATTGCTGCTGGTGAGCACAAAACTGTGTCATCATTATGTGCAACTGACAGAAATGAAATGACACTGAAATTCTTGTCCCTTAGATTTTTTAGATAAAAACGAACTGCAAGGAAGAATTTGAAAATTTGACATTCTTTTTTGTCAAATGCTGACTTACAAAATAGAAAGAGTCTCATCTCTAATGGAATTGCAATTTTCTTAAGTACCATTGCAATCGCAATAGCAGGCGCAACACTGACAGACAGTTGCTACCGCCGCCGACCCAGTCACAGTCAGAGCCATAGCCAAATACTCTACGTCCATATATTGAGGCTTCTTTTTTTGATTAAATTTTAATTATTAATTTTAGTTTTATTTGAATTTCATTTCGACTTTCTGTCGAATCGTGACAATGCAATAGGGAAAACTTGTTTTATTTATAAAAATCACAACCAAACACCTCTCTCCCTCTTCCCACTCTACTGCATCACCCATATTCAATATTTATTTTTCAGTTATTATTGTTGAAAATGCACAGAGAATTTAAAGTTTAACTGCTCCAGTGAGCATAGTTTGCACAATGCAGACGCTATGAAATTTAAACTCTTATCCTGCGAATCCTACGAATCCTACGAATCCTGTGAAGCATCGCAAATTCATAAAACTTTTTCCATGTAAAATATTTTGATATTTTGTTCATATTTTAATTTCAATAAAATTTTATTTTTGTTTCTGTTTCCTGCGTTTGTAACTTTTATTGGATAAAAACGCATAAATGCTATAAAAATTAGTTTGCTTTGCGGCTTTACTAGTGCGCTTTGAAGCACCTCCAGTTGCAATCCGCACTGAATACCATTCCTGCACACCACCCACAATTTTGATCATTTGCAGTGCTCCTTTGTGCTTCTGTTGCACTCTGGTTTGGAAGCTGGTAAGCGAATAAAGCGAAAATTAAAATATTTCCACTTGGATGAGTTTCTTAACTTTTTGCTCCGCATTATTCTGCTTGTCAAGATTTACCTGTTGCAACATGTGGCGTGCAGCTCCCAACCTGCAATTTGCAGCTCACCACACTTCAGTTGCATTTCCAAGTTTATAAGCTGGA